TTAAAACTCTCCTTGCAGGGCGCCTGGGTGGCTCAGTTGGTTAGGCGACTGCCTTCGGCTCAGGTCATGATCCTGGAGTCCCGGGGTCGAGTCCCGCATCGGGCTCCCTGCTCGGCAGGGAGCCTGCTTCTCCCTCTGACCCTCCTCCCTCTCATTCTCTCTGTCTCAAATAAATAAATAAAATTAAAAAAAAAAAAAACAACTCTCCTTGCAATCCAGTTAATGAAAACTTTTTCCATGTATCATGGAAAGGTAAACTTTATCTGGCCTGTTTCCCAATTATTAAAGTTCCAAATCACTGAAATATAAATAAATGAGACTTTACCGTACTTAGAACACCGGTATGATGAAAAATTTGTTTACACCGGGAGGTTTTAGGTCATCCTTCAATCATTCATCCCCGGAACCAAAGTACATATGCGCGTGAGCACACATGCATACACACACACACACACACACAAATGTGACACATGGTAAATGTTGGGCAATTACTGAGATGGAACAAAGGAGACCTTCAAATTCCATCGCCTTTTTAACCTTATATTTTTCTAGGCAAGAATCTGAGAAGCCAAATCAAAGGCATCTAAATACTGTTATTAATCATGACATACTAAGCTCTTTGTCTCTAATTCCTTGTCTTTTAAACACATTACTTTGGTCTAGGCGGTGCTAAGTTGAGGAGTAAAAGGGAGTATTTTGAAAATAGTAAAAATTTGAAGAGATCATATGTAAAGAGCTATACCAAGTAGCCATTTGAAGGAACTCTAATTATTGCAAAAGGGCTACACCTGTAGATTTGTCCTAATCTAAAATTAAACCTGTGAGGCTCTGCTGGAATCCTTTAGAAAAGAATAATTGAAACCCCCTTCAGCAAGTTAATTCAGATTCTCCTAATTTTACTTTTCTGGTTCACAAGGTATCTTTTTTATCATGGTATTTTCAAACTGAAACTCACACACATCAGATAAATAGCATGATAATCAGAGGTTTCAATATCCAATACACACTCATTATCATCTGTCATTATTGTCAGTGTCACTATTATAATTACGCATTGTAAAAAGAATGGAAGCTTTTCCACAGGAATTATTCACATGTATTACTTTCTAGGAGTAATTGAATAGTTGACATTGCATTTATATCAAAGTAAAATATGTGATGGCTTTTCTCATTTGTTTTATTCTTAAGAAACAAGAAATGTAGAGTGATTTCTGTTAGTCCCCTTTATTTGGATCCAGAAAGGTTCAGTTTTATGTAATGTCCAAGTGTATATTTTCTTATAACAAGGCTCAAAAGATCTCCAATATGATTAAAGTGATAATTTTCCAAGAACATATAAGGTAACAACTGGGTAGTGAAGTCCTCTTAATTAGCTTATATTTATATACATGAACTCAACAAGAATCTCAGTAAAAAATACTACTTTTCTTTTTTAACTATTTAATCAGGTTTGGTATGTTGAAATGAAGCCCACATTGTATTGCCAACATCTACAGATTAATAATAATTTACCTTAGAGTTTATGTAGAACTTTCACTTCGTCATTTTATGTAATCCTCATGACAATCCCTTGAAGAAGCAAGTCAGATACTATTAATCTATTTAAAGATGAGAAAACAGAGGCTCCCAAAAGCCAAGTAATTCATACAAAATTACTCTGCTGAGTAGAAAATTAGCCCTAGAGGGGCTCCTGTTTGGCTCAGTCAGCTGAGCGTCTGACTTTGGCTCAGGTCATGATCTTGGGGGTCCTGGGATTGAGCCCCATGTCGGGTTCCGCTCAGTGGGGAGTCTGCTTCTCCCTCTCCCTCTGCCCCTCCTCCTGCTCATTCTCTCTCTCTCTCAAATAAACAAATAAAATCTTAATTAAAAAAAAAAAGGAAGAGAAAATTAGCCCTAGAATCCCGGTCATCTGGGTCTTAATCAGAAGTTATGGTAAAATAAAAATTAAAAAAATAAATTTGAATTTTAGAAAGATCATAGGCCTGGTAGCATTAAGAGGCCTGGGCCTCAACACTCTTTAGGCCATTTTATTTTTCTATGGGAGCCTTCTAACGTCCCTGTAAAATGGAGTTGTTTCTGTGCCTTTAAGGCTGTTTTGACAGTCAATGGAGAAAACAGGGAGAAAAACATTCACATGTGTTCTGTGAGTCTATGCGTTCTTTCTTCTGCCCTCTGCTACTTCTCACAGGCTTTATCCTATTATTGGTTTCTATGTGAATCACCTTCACAAGGTAGAGTTTTAACCTTTATTTAGACTTAAATAATAGCGATACTGAGTTAGAAAACTGAGTGACACAGGCTTTAGAAACAAAATAATCCAAGGGAAATGCCATAGTAAGTTGAATGAATGATAATACGAATTAGTAATGCAAGATTTAAAATGCGTTTTCACTCACTACAAGGCCATACGTGATGACCTTAAAACACGGCTCCTTCACAGAAAACACACAACCAGTGAGGGTAGGTAGAATTTCCTTTCCTTCCATGTGATTCTTCATCACATTCCCTGAGGAGGCTGGATGGTTTAGAGATTTATCTTAGTTTACGTGGAGGCTTTCATGGCTGCTACGCTAGCTGGCCCTTTGAATCACGTCACTGTTGGCAGGGGTGAAGGTTGTTACCATTTGCCAACTGCTCAGTGGCTTAGGTATTGGTCGTCTCCGGCCAGTTCTTGGAGGACAGACGGCAGTGCGTGGCTCTTTGGACAGAGAGAACAAAGACTCTAGATCCTCTTCTCATCTGCAGAGATGGTCCATCTAAACTGCTGGTGAAAATCACCCATGTGGATGTGTCCGGGGAAACTGGCCTTATCAATTAAGGAAACAACCCTACAAACATCGCTAAGTCATTCACTTCTCTCCATTTGTCATTCATGAAACACATTTTAAAAGCAGTACCTTTATTTAAATATGAAAACAGAGATTGAATTAGATTGCTTCGGTCCCACTACAGCTTCCCTGAGTCCTTTCCCCTTCCGCCCGACCATAGCTATCTGGCAGCCGGTAGATGTGTCCTGTCATGACAGCCACAGAATGGCGCCTTCCAGTTGACCAGGAAACGTCGCCACAGGGTACCCAATAGCAGCAACCTAAAAAAGAGTACTTGCTCTCATCTTGACTTGTCTTAGACTCACAGAGTGGTTGATTATTTGGACTAAAATGACAATAATAGAATAGTCTTCTATTAGTTCTGTAACCATGCATTTAGGAGATTGCATAGCACATCAATTACATATGTTCTCATTTCAAAATAACAGAAAGCTACTTACTGCACTGAGGTCCCATCACCCCTCTTAGCAGACCACCCCAATCACTGAATTCCTCAAAGTATGGAACACTTGGCTACTGGATTCTAGTTTTGTTTCACAACTACTGGTCTATAGGGCATATGGGTACAGTTCCAAAGTACTTTAGATTCAAAGAAGCGAGGGGGCTTTTTGTTTGTGACAAAATTAATATTGCAAGCTGATATTACATTAGGCATCCTTCTGGAAGTACAGCTCCCCCTATCCATGATTGCCTGATAGGAGTTTCTCCAGAAGGCATTTTTTGTACTGAAGCATATACAATGCATTCAATGGCACCAGAGTTTCATTAAAGGAATTCTCCCGTTCCCTTCCTTCACATGGAAATGTCATTAACTCTATTAAGTTAACTCTCCGAATGTTAGGTTCTTAACCAACAAACGGTGCTTCTCCACAAGGGCATACTTTGCCAAGCGTCCTTGAATCAGAACGATGGGCCAACTATGTAATAACAGATTGAGAGCCACCACCGCAGTTTGCGATCATATTTAAGAGGAACCCTTTTGTATTTGTTGACTTTTTTCCTTCAGTCATGCTTGTTCCGTTTCTTCCACCACCACCTTCAGCCTTTCAGGTAAATGAAAAGTTCAATTATATGTAAAGCGACCGTTAAATCAGCAGGCCCCTCGTGGGGGTCTGGGCCTCCCCTCCCTGCTCCAATCGCAAGTGCGCTCAATCCATTAGCCTTCCTGAGGATCGCACATCCATCAGGTCGAGTGTGCCGGCCAGGGTGCATCTTACAGCTTTTACTGCATATGAGACGTTGCAGGCCTGTTCTCAGGAACTGCCGGGCAGACTGGGAATCACAGTCACGGTTAATAGCAGCGAATTGCCAGCTCTTGATGGGTGGGTAGTCACTCCTTTCAGTGGTTACCCCCTGGGGGAGAAGGTAGAAAAACAGAGGGAGGGAATTAGAGTGACTTTGCACAGTTGAGCAGGTTCATGCGGCTGGATCAGTGGCAAGCATTGGCAGGGCTCCACTCTGGGGAGGCTCAAAACAGCCTCACAGTCTCATTTTTACCAATCGGTGCTGCTGTGTCACGGGTGGTACCCAGGGATGGGGGGTGGGGGGTGGGGGGCTGGGGCAGGGAAGGGAGGGGGCGCTGCGAAGGGGATGAAGGCGGAAGTCTCAGCTAAATTAAACAAACAGAAAGTCTTCTTGATGCTGGTTAACCTTCCCCAGTTAGCCCTGTGCTACTAATCATACCAAACTGGTATTCAAAGTTCCCTGGGTGATTAAAGAGTTGGCTCACAAACTCTCTGCATAACCTTAATTTTTTCAAGGTTCTTTGAGTGGAGAATGGCTTATAATAATGATTTTGACTAATACGATTTTTGACATGCAACTTTAATGCTTAACCTTAGTACAACTCCAGAGCATTTCATGTGTACTCAGCTGTAAAGAGTGATGATTTAAAGGGATAATATAAGAAAAAGGTCGTTCTAGAATGAACCTCTAACAAATTGCATAAAGGGAGCTTATTATTCCATGAGTATGGGGATATGCTGCTCTTCTGATCATTTTTCTGCTTGGTTCAAAAAAATTGTTGAGACATGAATGGGAGAAGAAACAGGAAAAAATGAAATAGAAATCTGCAAGCAAGGAACATTCTTTTGATGGTTATGATTTCGCGTCGCCACTCAAAAGGCTCTACAATAATGTGGTTATTCATCTCCTCTTTTGTTTTGGGTGAAGAATTCGCTCTAACAAGAAAATGCTGTTATTGGTCGGAGGCTTGCCTCCTGGGCCGGACCGGCTCCCCAGCAACTTGGTTCAGTACTACGATGATGAAAAGAAGACGTGGAAAATACTCACAAGTGAGTGCCCTTCTTTATTTATTTACCCACCTATTTGTTTCAGCTTAGAGCTGTCTCGATGAATTCGAAAACATGGCTAATCAAATTAGACATTTTGCTGATTTGTTACCCTTTGGAGGTCTGTTTATGTATCACCAGGGATTTAGAGTAAAAGACTAAATTAACATTGCAGAGGTGGCCAATTTGGTAGTCGAATAGGCCTAAATTAAAGTGGCCTAAAAGCCCTACGTGAGTTTGTGTCTCTGTGACAGAGAGGGGGTGGTCACAGAGATGTGCCAAAAGAAATGCCTCCGTTCTTTTTTTTTTTTTTTTGCTTATCGGAAAGTGAAAGGTCGGGTAATAGCCCCAGTAAATTTTCTCACATCTTAAGGGGTGTTTCGCTCATTGTCTTTGTAACTAACACTCATTTCACCTTTTAGACATTTTCTGCTCATTCGTCTTTGGTCTGTAAAACTGGGTCTTAGAGAAACACTCCCCTCAATAGACCAATAATAATAGCTCCACAGTCTGGATGGACAGATCCCGTGGCCTATCCCAGCTGCCTTCAATTGTGCTTACAAACTTCCGCCCAAGATTCCCTTCCTCCCCTCCTTAAAGGGTGATTGTGTTTTACAGCAAACCTCTTGCCTTGGGCACTGAGATTTGGAACTTATTGTTACGTCGGTTATGATTCCCAATCTGACTCAGTCATGGAATCAAAAATCATCATTTCTTAAGTGCAGCAGGCTGTGTGCACCAGGCCCCTCGTGGGCACAGTGGCTGCCCTGGTCAATAAAACTAAATTTTAACTGTCAAAATTGCCCAGAGCTGTATAGATAAAATAATAAATGAGTAATTCTGATCCATAAATCAAAGCCATACATTGAAAACCGGCAAAAGAGAAAGTTAGATTTTCTTATAGCATGTGTCTTTTAAGCAGTTATATATTTTATCAGATTTTTAAAAAATCATTTCCTCTCCTCTTACTGAAAGCCCTTTTAAATAATAGAAACAGGACAACAGTTTGCCCATAAGAGCAGAAGAGGCACAAAGACATGTGAGGTGGTGCTTGAAATAATACATTTCGGAGCTGGCTTACCCCGGCGAGACCGCCAGTAGCGTTGTCCAGGATCTGCAACGAGGAAGCTCCCTGGACGCCCATACGCTACGGTTGTAGGAAAGAAGCGGGGGGATAGTAGCAGGAAGCTTAAGGAGAAGGAAGGAAGAAAAATCAGTTAGAGATCCTTAAAATGGTTTTCATTCTCTTTTTTGACAAAAGGACTGTTAATAGTGATTTGAACATCTGAATGAGTGACCAAGCTGTATTTTTAAAGTAAAACCAAAGAATCAATTATCTGACACTGATCAATAGAGAAAGCCTACACAGAATAAGACATGGGTGCTAGGAAGAGGAGAGAAGAAAAAGGAAAGACAAAGATTCTCGAAGAGAGATGACAGAGACATAGAGGCAAAAGAAGTGATACTCATTCACAAATCCATCTGCTTTCCCAAATACACCAGGCAAAGCCCAATTTGCTACTGGTTTGAAGCCCTTCATTAAAGGCAAGAAGATTAATTAAAACATCATGAATAATACCCAAGAAAAGTCTTAGGTTCATTTTAAAGCTTGTTCGGAGACAGAGTGATCATCCAGTTTGGTCTCCAAACGGGGACACTTCAGAGCATGACATGGGGACCTACTGATTATGCTGGGACAATAGGTATAGACTGGAACATAGGGTCACCCTACTCAAATTTTTCACATTGCCTGATTTAACTCTTTACTTAGAAGGATGTGGTAAGAAGACATGAACTTGAATCAGTCAGACCTGGGTTCAAACCCATGTCTGTGACCTTGAGCCAGGCATGTCAATGTCCCAAGTCATGGCTTCTTCTTCTTCTTCTTCTTCTTCATTTTGTCAGCATCATTGGAGTATTTTTTAAATAAAATTGTGTTTATAAGTCATCTAGCACATAGCGTGAGCTCAACCAATTCCGGGTGTTGTGGCCATTATTAGAACAACACCACCAGTCTGAGCACAAGGACTGTGTGGACCTTTATACCCTAGAGGCGTCAGTCAACTCAAGCTCTCTATGCAGAGGTGAGACAAATTACACTACAACAGATACAGCACTTTGACCCACGGTCCCGGAGGCAGGAACCTATTTTCCATAGTTTTCCCATGTTGCGTGTGGTGATCTACAGACTCAGAAGTAGAGATAAATGACTGTCAGTTGACTCCATTCACCAGGTTTGAAATGGAAGGAAATACAGACATGAATGTATACAAAAGTTCTTATAAAGGGAACATACTCAAAGATCTTGAACCTCTTTCCTATAGTCAGGCATGCTTACAGCTTTGAAATAAATGTCTACTCCACTTATACTCTTCATTTCACTGGGACTTGTATTTTCAAAAATAGAGTTTATTACCTGCTGGGCTGTGACTACATGGCCCCAAGTGAAGGCATATTTTTCAGGTTTGTTGGAGAGATATAGACAGTTTATCTGGATGCTTTCTGCTGTTGGTGTGTATTTTTTAATTAAGGCATCTTATTTGACTAATAAATAAGTCAGGTCACTGACAGATTTCCACGCTATTTGGGCCATCTAACAATAAAGGAAGAAATGTTTCTCACTGGAATAGAAAAAAAAAAATCCAAATTCTCCCTAAATCCAGCGAAGCATCTGGGATTGCAGAGCTTCCCACTGCCATTCTTCTGACCCTGAAGGGCAGCTAAACTCATTGGCAGGGAGATGAGGATGACAGTTAAGGCTAGCAGACAGGGCCCGGCTTGGGTCTGCTTATTTATCAAATGGCTGTCTCCATACCAACCAACAAATAAGCTAACTAGCAAAAACCTAAAACCCGAGGTTAGCTAGAGCCTCTGAATCTTAGAATCCTTTGCCCTCGTGGCTTGAGCAGACATTTCTCAGCCTGTCTCATAAACATGCTCCTTCGAGAAAGATGGCATTCCACAGGCAGGAGCACAGATACCCAGTTAGGGGAGCCACACGGCTTATACGAATTTTATAACAAAGAAGAATGCAAAGGATCTCTTTAGATCTTACCCTGTTATGTTTTAGAATCAGAGTTTAAGGGGTACACAAGTAATAATAAATTGAATGGAGGAGGGTGAGTAGAGGGAGAAAGTGGATCTACATCACATAAAGAAAAGAAATCCAGCCGTCAGCCAGTCAGCGGTCTGGTCTACCCAAACAGCAAAGGGAACAATTACTCTCACAGAAAAGACTGCTTTGGTAACATGCTGACACAGATTGCATTTTTATCCGCTTCTTTGGAAAAATCATTTAATATAACATTAAATAATTAATGTTGAGAATAGTGACAGGGCTCCGTGGTTTCTCGTAGAAAAAGTACTGGGAAATAACATGTAAAAATGACTGTAAAGTCCTTTTGTCAGTGTAAAATGTTAAGTAATAACAGTAAAATTGGCATTGTTTTTCTCTCGACTGTTAATAATAGAAGGGAAGTTGAGATGCACTTTCGTTCATTTTTATTTTACAGTACTGCTTCCCCTGCATTTCTCACTCCTGCACGCAGTCTCCCGTTTCATTTTTAACTTATTAGAAAGCAGTACAGGAGACCTGAATACTAAAATGGCCAGCGCAAAAAACATGCCTCTTGCACTTTGCAGGCCCTAAATCCTTGGTGTGAAGATCAAACCAAACAATTCCCATGGCTACTTTAGACTTTTTTACCACACATCAAAGTTCTTGTGAAGTCCACATGTAGAAGGTCCCCCCCGCCCCCGCAAGGGACAGCACTGAGGGGCCATCTACTTTCTTCGTGCTCCCCATTGGCCGAGTCCTTCGCTGGTGGAGAAAGGTGTTTCCTGGGGACTGACTTCCTTCTTCCTGCATTTCAGATGAGACATTCTACTTGTTAGGTGCTTGTTACTGCTTTCTGTGAACAAGGAGGGGGAAGAGGACTTCAAAACAAAGATCTGTCCTTCCACGTGCCCATGACGACTTCCCTTTAATAACGTTAGGATGAAAATTAGAAGAACTAACTTAGAAAGGCATCTTCCTCCTTCTGGCCACCTCAGTTCTCTTTGCCAGAGGTAGGGGGAAATGCCTTTTTTCCCCTCTTCCTTTCAATTGATTTGTGGCTCTATTCTCTACCTGGTAGTGCAGGGGTTGGGGGCCTTGTATTTTTCAGTGGCAGAACATAAAGGAAACCACCGTGTGGAGATTTCCTGGGCCATCTCCTCTGATCCCTGGAGGACATTGAATTTGATCCCATCCACACGGGAGGGGTTCTGAGTCTGGGTGTCAGAGATTTCTTTTAGGAGAGTCACAAATATCAGAAGCTGGTAGACTCTCCATTCTTTTTTTTTTTTTTTTTAAGAGTGGGGAGGGCCTGAGGGCAAGGGAGAGAGAGAATCCCAAGTAGGCTCTATGCCCAGTGCAGAGCCCGACCATGGGGTTCGATCTCCTGTCCCTGAGATCATGACCTAAGCTGAGATTAAGAATCGGCTGCTCAACCCAGGTGCCCCTTCATTCTTTTTTTAAAATATACTGCCCAAGGATGCCTGGGTGGCTCAGTCGGTTTAAACATCTGCTTTTGGCTCAGGTCGTGATCCCAGGGTTCTGGGATCGAGTCCTGCATCGAGCTCCCTGCTGAGTGGGGAGTCTGCTTCTCTCTCTGTCTGCCGCTCCTCCTGCTTGTGCTCTCTCTCTCTCTCTTTCTCTTTGACAAATAAATAAATAAAATCTTTAAAAAAATAAAATAATATATACTTTCCATAAATGTTAAAGGACTAGTACCAAGGAAGCAAATCTTATATAAGACAGTGAACTTCAGTTCCAAAAGATACATACAGGTTTGATCATATCTGATACCTAATAATTGCTGATTATTCAGGAAATAATAAGGCTGCACACTGATACTTTCACCTGGACCTCTTTCCTTGACCCCTCTGTTTCTTGACTTCAGTTTATTTCTTTGAGGATATGTTGGAGGGAACGTCAAGTTAGTCAAAAGCTAATAATCATT